TGACGACAAATGGCCGAGCATGAGGCGCTCTTGGACGAGCACAGCAGCATGGTACAGGTAGGGGCCTTACACGGCAGGGGGAAAGTACGGAAAGTGAGGTAGCGGTCAAGGGGTTAGCCGATTAGGCTGGCGCGCCCGGCATGGCAACTGACAGTCATTCGGGACCGCACTCCTCTCCACCGCTCCTCTCACCCACTCCTCTCCACCGCTCCTCTCACCCACTCCTCTCACCCCCTCCTCTCACCCCCTCCTCTCACCCCCTCCTCTCACCCCCTCCTCTCACCCCCTCCTCTCACCCACTCCTCTCACCCACTCCTCTCCACCGCTCCTCTCACCCCCTCCTCTCACCCCCTCCTCTCACCCCCTCCTCTCACCCCCTCCTCTCACCCCCTCCTCTCACCCACTCCTCTCACCCACTCCTCTCACCCACTCCTCTCCACCGCTCCTCTCACCCCCTCCTCTCACCCCCTCCTCTCACCCCCTCCTCTCACCCCCTCCTCTCACCCCCTCCTCTCACCCCCTCCTCTCACCCACTCCTCTCCACCGCTCCTCTCACCCACTCCTCTCACCCCCTCCTCTCCACCGCTCCTCTCACCCACTCCTCTCCACCGCTCCTCTCATCCACTCCTCTCACCCACTCCTCTCCACCGCTCCTCTCACCCACTCCTCTCACCCACTCCTCTCACCCCCTCGGTGGTTCGTCCTACCCCCTTCCTTCCCCTCCTCCTTATCCCGCAGTGTCTGGAGCATATCCTTGGATAGCTAGTCTATCCTGGTATTAGCTGCACTCGTCTGTGTTTCGTCTTTCCCGCCCTCCTTCCCCTTCCTTGCATCCTGATGCCCATCCCCAACCCCCCGATACACTCTGCCCTGGCAGCAGCTTCAATGGTGTGTGGTTCGTCTTTCCCACCCCCCCGACCAACCACCCTCCCCTAACGGCCAATCCGGTGATGGGATATTGTCCCACGTGTTCCCCGAACCCCCCCCCCCGCCACACACACACGCGTGCTCGTGTGATAGGTGCTATCTAAGGATCTGCGAACTGTTCGTACGCTTGTGGAGGATGTCGTACGGCAGCTGGGCAGCGCTGCGGGCGGTCCCGGAGGCGGTAGTGGCGGGTTACGACAGGCGGCGATTCACGACGCGGCGGCGGCCATGGAGGCTATCCACGAAACGTGAGTCAGATCTGGTGGGGTGCCCTCCCGTCCCGTCCCATTCCGTCCCGGTGACATGAATGGAAGCAGCAGCAGGGGTTGTGTGTGTATTCTGTGTGTGTGTGTTTTTGTGTACGGGAGAGGAAGGTTGCGTGATGGTGGGGGGGCCCTTTTTGTGTACAGCAGTACAACACCTCGAGCTGCGGGGTTGTTTGGACACCAGCAAATGCTTTAGAGACACCATCACACAGAAATTTACAGCCGTGGATGTATGTTTGTTAGACATTCTGGAGCTTCGTTACCCGTTACCAGTTTGCAAAGTCCCCCCCCCCTTCCCCCTGCCCTC